GGGGGGGGGGGGAAGACACACATTGGTTGGTTGCCGCCCATACGTACCCCATCTGGGGCATGTGATCAAACCCGAGACCCTTTGGTGCCCAGGTGATGCTCTAACCCATGAGCAACACCAGCCCGGTCCTTTTTTTTTAAAAGGGGGCATTTTTTCTTTTTAAATATATCTTTATTGATTTCAGAGAGAGGAAAGGAGAGGGGGAGAGAGAGAGAGAAACATCAATGATGAGCGAGTCATCGATGGAGCCCGAAACTCGAGCATGTGCCCTGACCGGGAATTGAACCCGATCTGGATCCTAGGTTGATGCTCAGCCGCTGAGCCACGCCCGGCCGGGCCAGGTTCACTTTTTAAAAGGGGAATTGTTAGTTGGCTCTAGATGTCTTTCATGTGGTCTCTATTATACTTTAAAAATTCCTCAGGCTTATATTTTTTCTTAATTCTCAGTGTCAGTGAAGATTTCTCTCTTACCACCTTTGGTCATTCCAGTATTTATTGATGGAGAGGGCAGATTGTTCAAATTGAAGTTTCCTAGGATCTCTCTCTTCCTTGTCTCTCCTCCTATCTCATCTTAAGGTTATATGATTAATTTGCTATTAGGGCTTAGATTCTGGTTCCATACAACTTAAAATGTGTTTCTTTTCTAGTGACTCTTCATCTCGATATTCTGATTGGACAGCTGATGCAGGCATCAATTTGCAGCCTCCTTTACGTACTTCATCTCGTCGGCGTATTACCCGGTTTTGCAGTAGTTCAGAGGATGAAATGTCTACTGAGAATTTATCTCCTCCAAAAAGGAGACGAAAGAGAAAGAAAGAAAATAAGCCTAAAAAAGAGGTAAGAAACATATATCTTTATAAGTAACACCTATGTACAGTTTATAGAGGCTTTTCTGCCCATTTTTAAAATTCAGAATCTTCTTGAAATTGAAACCTTCATTTTTATTGACAACATTGTATTATCAGGAGTTAATTGTAAAATGAAAACATTTTTGAAAAAGCTACTTTATTTTTAAAACTTCTCTTTCTAATATGTTCAAAGTTGGACTTGGGACTTAAGCCTTTCTGAATTTGAAACTTAAGGGGAGAGTTCTGTTTTGCGTGGATCTCACCCTAACACTTTTTACCTGTTAATTTCAACATCAGAAATATACTTCAAGGCATTTTAAGGCGTTTCCTTCTTTGGTTTGTTATTGCCATGCTTTCCATTTTCATCTGCTATGTTCTATCTGCATATTTTCCTCCTAATTGTAACAACCATATTCCTTATATGTACCGGGCCTGTGCTCCTCTTGTGCAGGCAGCTCTCATTATTTAAAAATGCCGTGTCTTCGTATTAGTTACCTATTGCTGTGGAACATATCACCTTGAAACTTAACTGCATAAAATAGGAAATGTATTATTTCATGTTTTGATGGGTCAGGAATTTGGAGGCTGATTAGCTAGGGGATTTGGGCTCATGAGGTTGCCTAATTGTGTTGGTTGTGGTTGCTGTGGTCTGAAGGCTTGATTGAGGCTAGATGATCATCTTTGAAGTTCATTCATGTGGAAGTTGGCTGGTAGCCTCAGTTCCTCACTGCATGAACCTCTCCATAGGTGAGGAGTCTTCACTACATGGTAGCTATGTTTCCCAGAGCTAGTGATCCAGAAGTGTAATAAGCAAGCCCTGGCCAGGGTTTTCTCAGGGGTTAGAGCACCGGCCCGTGCACCAAAAGGTCTCGGGTTCGATTCCCAGTCAAGGGCACATACCTGGGTTGTAGGTTCGGTCCCTCCCCGGTCCGGGCACGTGCGTGAGGCAACCAGTCGATGTGTCTCTCTCATGTCAATGTTTCTCTTTCTCTCACCCCTCCTTCCCTCCCACTCACCCAAAAAATCAGTGGAAAAAATATCCTCAGGTGAGGATTAACAAAAAACAGACCATTAAAACAGAACAAAAGTGTAAGCAAGGATGTAAGCCCTGATTCCTTTTATTACCTAGTCTTAATGTCAAACATCACTTTTGTTTTATTCTGTTTGTTAGAAGCAAGTTGAGCTCATACTCAAGCGGACGATACTTTGGAGAGGACGCGTATCAAAGAATTTGTGGTCATAATTTTAAAGTCACCAGTCCTAAAACCTCCCATGAAGAGGAGACTGCCTGTGGTGTAGTCTGTGGTGAAGTTCATACTGGGGTCTTAGGCAGAGCAGACTGAATTGAAGGGGATTTAGGCTGGGAATTAGCCTCTTGCGTAGGATATAAAGTGTTAGGCAGAGCCTGCTACGTCCAGGAGATGCTAGGAAAGCGCCAGGTGGTAGATGTAGAACGCAGACTATTGAGATGTCCCTGTGTATGTCGAGGAAGCAAGTATGTATGGTATTTAAAAACTAACCGTTGGGTGACATGCAATAAATAGTCAGTGAATGGTAATGTTTCTTTTGTTTTTCAAAGAGCACATGCTTCCCCTTTCTTTTCTGTTAAACTGTTTTCTTCCTCTGGCAGGATGTGCGGAGAATGACACCGCCGGGGCCTGCAGATTGGGCGCATCTTCACGAGCTCCGTCCGCCAGTCTGGGTAACTGACACCACTCTGCGGAAGTCTCCTTTCGTTCCACAGATGGGCGACGAGGTGCGAGTAGAAAGATTTAAAGACGGGAATGCGGAACATGAGGCAAATTAGTGCTGCTCTTAAGGCTTTATTTTTATTTGTTATTTTTCAATGTATCCTTTTGTAGGTAATATATTTTCGACAGGGTCATGAAGCTTATATTGAGGCTGTGAGAAGAAATAACATTTATGAACTGAACCCTAACAAGGAGCCATGGAGAAAAATGGATCTTAGGGTAAGATGATAGTATTATTAAACATTTAGCACATATGTAATTAAGTTACTTATAAACTCATTAAAAAAACCCAGAGACATATTTCATTATTATCATTCCATTAATTTCCTACTTAAAAACATTTCTGTTATTACCTTTAAGCTTTAAGTTCCATTTGGAAAACTTGTTTATCAGTGGGCAGTCTTCATATATTGCTGATTGACATGTAAAATTCTTAAGTGTGTTAGAATTTCTTAGGAAGGCAGTTTTGCAACATGTATCAGTAGTCTTAAAATATACAGACCCAGGACAGATTTTAAAAAGGAGTGCAAGTTTTCAAAAAAAGAAATACAAATTGGAAAAAAGGTTCAACCTCATGCATAATATAGAAAAACTTAGGTTCCTTCTACAGAAACAGCTGTCAATCTTCTTTATTTCTTTTTAAATATATCTTTATTGATTTCAGAGAGAGGAAGGGAGAGGGAGAGTTGAAACATCAGTGATGAGAGAGTCATTGATTGGCTGCCTCCTGCACACCCCCTACTGGGGATTGAGCCTGCAACCCGGGCTTGTGCCCTGACCAGGAATTGAACAGTGATCTCTTGGATCCTACGTTGATGCTCAACCGCTGAGCTATGTGGGCTGGGCAACAGTTGTCAATCTTAATTGAGATGGCCCCTAAGTGACTAATGGGTGGGTAGTTTATACAGTGTGGATACGCTGGACAAAGGAATGATTCATGTCCCAAGTGGGAAAGAGTGGAGTAGTACGAAATTTCATTGTGCTACTCAGAATGTCACATGATTTAAAACTTACAAATGGTTTATTTCGGGAATTTTCCATGTAATATTTTTGGATCACGGGGTACCACAGGTAACTGAAACAGTAGAAAGCAAAACCGTGAATGAAGATGTGTTACTGTATTTTCTAAAGTGAGTGAATATATTCCTTACATTAGAAACAGTATTAAATGTCTGTCTTCCAAAAGGTGTGAAGATTAACTTTAGCAAAAATGATAGTAATTAATAGTCACTTAAACTTGTCTGCTGGTTTGGAAGCCTAAATTGTGAGTTGACTAAATTTTGTAGTATATGGTGAATTATATTCTTGAGGAATTGATTTATTTTAACCATTTTAAACATTGATTCTTTTTAAAAAATCTGTTGAAGGATCAAGAATTGGTCAAAATAGTTGGAATACGATATGAGGTTGGGCCCCCTACACTCTGTTGCCTCAAACTAGCATTTATAGATCCTGCAACTGGAAAACTTATGGACAAATCTTTCTCTATTAGGTATGTGTTATTTTTTATGGAATTAATTAAATTTAGAATTTTTTTCTTGCTGGTTACCATTCTCTTTCCATTTAGTTGCAGGGTAAATAGTACAGTACCGTGGACAGCCTAAGGTGTGGATGTATGTTCTGATAGATGGGAGCCTCCCTAGAAGTAAAAATAGGAATGCTACAGCAGCAAAAATTAGGCATTGGCATGTTTTATACATTTTTTTCATGCCACTTAAATGTGTGGAGAATTCTGGCCTGTAGGTGAAATTGCTTCTGCTTTTGTTTTGGAGAAAATATTAGAATAAATAATTTTCTAAACCTGTGCTGTCCATAATGGTAGCTGTTAGCTGCATGTGGCCACTGAGCACTGGAAATGTGGCTGATTGGAACTGAGTGATACAAATGTACACATTGAATTTTGAAAACTTGGTGTGAAGAAAAAGGGTGTTAAAAAACCAATATTTTGTATTGATTACGTAGTAGGATATGTTGGGTTAAATATAATACACTATTAAAATTTAGTGGTTTCTTTTTATTTTTTAATAAGGCTAGTTGAAGATTAAAGTTTACGAATGCAGTTTCCATTGTATTTCTTTTGGACAATGTTGCTCTGGACTATAACCTGCTGCACAAGGAGTTTAATAATCTTTTGTTTCTGTTTAGATATCACGATATGCCAGATGTTATTGACTTTCTTGTGTTGCGTCAGTTTTACGATGAAGCAAGACAGAGGAACTGGCAGTCTTGTAAGTCTATCCTTATGAGTGTTAAACAGCCTTAGAAATTAATCTCTCCTTTGGTGGATGCAAACATATAAATTCTGGCAAGAAATACAAGTGACTTAAAAGTTTATTTTGCTTAGGGTTTGGCCCTCACTACCACTTTTTTTTTCATCCTCCCCTGAGGATATTTTTCCCATTGCATCTTCAGAGAGAGTGGAAGTGAGAGAGAGAGAGAAACATCGATGTGAGAGACACACAGATTGGTTGCCTCCCGCACCTGCCCTGACCAGGGCTGGGGATTGAGCCTGCAACTGAGGTACGTGCCCTTGGCCCAAATTGAACCTGGGACCCTTCAGTCCTCGGGCCAACACTCTAACCACTGAGCGAAACCGGCCAGGACTACTAAAGACTTATTAATGCTGGATGATAGACTTTTTCCCCCTTATCTATTTTGTTTGGAAAATAGTGGGGTGGATGGAAAGGAAGAAATAGGGTTCTTACAGCAGTCTATGTTTCTTTTGTAATATATGTAAAACAAATGTATCAGTCAACTATAGTTTATTCCCCTAGAAGTGTCATCATTTTAGAATACATTTAAAAATGTGTGTTATCTAAAATCTCTGAAGTCAGTTGAAGTATTGGTTCCACAGTTTGTTAGCCTTACTAAGATCTGCTTGCCTGCTTTTATGTTATACTGAGATAATGGGATATTTGGATGTTTAACCTGATTTTTATTATGAGATCTTAAGAATTAGAACACTGTTTTGTATGAAGATACTTATATAGGAACTTTAGAATAATCATGGATTAAATTCTAATCATAGTTAACTTTTATAATTTGTTTTGTTTTTCAAGAAGTGTTATATATTTTATAAGTATATATTTAATATACTTAATACAAAAGTGTTTATTGATAGTATATATTGTAAAAGATTTTTGAGTTTTGTTAAATTTTGTTCTTCATTTTGTGTTGTAAATGTAATAGAACGTGTTTTGGAGGGGGCATTTGGATCCACTAAACACTGGAACTTAGTCATAAACCACTTTAGCCTAGTATGTTTATGGTTATATGCCTTCAGTAAATTTCTGAGTGTAACATTATCTCTTTTTTGCCTCTTTTATCACTAAAGATTGTTGGGAAGTAGGGATAGATGGCTAATTCTAACATAAAAAAAATGCTGTGATTATTTATCTTCACTGGAATCTTTATCATGATATTTTACAAATTAAGAAGGTTAGTGTTGGAAACATGTCTCAGACTGGGTCATATCTCCTCTAGGTGACAGGTTCCGTTCTATCATTGATGATGCCTGGTGGTTTGGAACAGTGCTGAGCCAAGAGCCCTACCAGCCACAGTACCCTGATAGTCATTTCCAGTGTTATATTGTTAGGTATGTATGCAGATGAAAATGAATGCTTACAAACATTTGTTCATTGTGGTAGGTTGCATGAACAACTAATACATTTCAGGTTAAAAAAAAACCCATGATTTTAATCTGTCATTAAGTCTCATCAGACTCACCTTTACAGTATCTCTTTAGCACACCCCTATCGCTAGTACCCCTCGGGGTACAGTCTCTGCTTGCTTCCTTGGGGCTTTTTCTGTAGCTTCCTATATTTTCTCCAGCTGACATTGCAATATCATTGTCCAGGAGCATGTATTACTTCCTTTGTTTAAAAAACATCTTCGCTGCCTTTCCATTGGCTGTGGAATGAAATCCACATTCTGAATCATCCTGCTTGAGGCCTTCACGCTGTTAGAGTTTTTCTTGCCTTACCCTGGCACAGGGCACAGAGGTTTCTGGTTTTGTCCTTGAACCCACCATGCATTTTTACACTTATTATAATATGTCCTTCTAAACTTTTTTCACAGTTAATATTTAAACTTTTACTGCTACAATGAGGTTAATTTTCACATTTTCTGTTTACTCTTATAGTGGATACCTAGTTATTAGCCACAGTTGTCTTTATGAAAGGTCAACTAGACTTTTCTTTCGGTTTTAACAGGTGGGATAATACTGAAATTGAAAAGCTTAGCCCATGGGATATGGAACCAATTCCTGACAATGGTATGTAATTGTTAAATAATGAAAGTATTTTACCTTTACATTTTTAATTTTTTGTCTTACATAGAGCAAATTGTATTCTTTGAGACATGTTTTCAAACTACTGTGGTAACTGAGCTTCACTAAAAGAGGTCAACACAATTATGTGTATCTGGTTCATTATTTCTTACCTCGCGTTTCCAGCTTGATTCTGGCTGTATCTTAGTAGCCCACCGTCATGTCTCATGTTAGCCTGCGTAAAACTCTGCGGACCTCCTTCCTGTGCCTCCCGTTGCCTTTTCCTCACCTTTACTCTCACCTTGTTCTGCCTCCAAAGGAGAGCTCTCACTTGACTTCTGTCTTCTGCTTTACCTCAGCTTGTCTGTCCTATTGAGGATGGCCTCTTCCTTTCCTGTGAGACAGTGTCTGTTCTAGAGCCAGCCTCTCCTCAGTACTTGCTGTCCCACTGCATTTAAATTCTCTTGGACCTGCTACTCACACTTAGTTTATTCCCTCCAGCAGTTCTAGTTTCCTCTTTCCTTTCTCCTTTTTGAATTTGAATTTGTCTCTTATATCTTAAAACATCTTTTATTTGGCTTTCTTGAACATTTTATCTGCTGAGTTATTCCTCTTGCAAACTTTTTGGAGGGGTGCTCTTTGTCTCTTGCCTCCATTTCTTCACTCTCAACCTTCCTTTTATTCGTGTTTATTCAGTGTAAAAACATACAAAAACTTTTTTCCTTTAACCCCCACCATTTTTTGACACGTGAAATCTTTACTCCACAAGTTTTTCTTGTCTCTGCCTTAGGGACCTAGCCCTTCTCTTTGTATTTACTCTGATATATCTCTATGAACCACTGTCTTGGTTTACTTTGGAAATGAGGATTTTTATGGAAATTAGAAATTTTTTTCAAAAAAATGTTTTTCTAATAACTGCAGTCTTGAGAGTGACCAGTTTCTTCCCTTTGTTAGATTTTTATTTGAGCTTAGTATCTTAAACAAACAGTAGGAAATGACATTTTTCAATATAGAAAGCATATAATAAATAGAAACCAGCATTTTTTCAGAACTTTGTGTATCATTTCATGAAATCCTGCTCTGAGGTTGATGCTCTGTTACTAATTTTAGAGATGAAGGAACTAAGGCTCAGAGAGTCTGCAGTAACTTGTTTAAAGTCACACACAGACACATCTAGAAAGGGTAGGAGTTGGGATTCTAACCCAAGCCACAGGCTCCAACCACTGCTTGTAACTGGTTACAGCTGCTCTTTTTTAGAGGATAGTACAAGTCAGGGAAAAACACTCACGTAAAGAGGCTTTGCATGTTAATGAGATCCATAAGCCTTTAGAAGAGTTGTCAAGCAGGCGTTAAACGAACGTGAGGAGAGGCTCACTGCATTAACCATCTTTGAAATGTGTGTTAAAATCGTCCGCTGGCATTTGACATTTTTCTTCTCCTTTTTTGTTGTTAATCTTCACTCGAGGATATTTCTTCCATTGACTTTTTATTTTTATTTATTTATTATTATTTTTTAAATATATCTTTATTGATTTCAGAGAGAGGAAGGGAGAGGGAGAGAGAGATAGAAACACCAATGATGACAGAGTCATTGATCGAGCCCGCAACACGGGCATGTGCCCTGACAGGGAATCGAACCCCGATCACCTGGATCCTAGGTCGATGCTCAACCGCTGAGCCACGCCCATTGACTTTTTAGAGAGAGTAGAAGGGGGGGGCAGAGAAACATAGATGTTTGAGAAACACATTGATTAGTTGCCTCCTGTACGGGAATTAAACCTGCAGTTGAGGTACTTGCCCTTGACTGGGAATTGAATCCATGACCCCTGTGTCCGTAGGCCGACACCAACCACTGAGCCACACGGGTCAAGGCCAGGGTGACATTTTTTGTTTTTTATTTATGATTTTCAGAAGAATGCTTTCTGAATATTTACAATGTCTCCTCTTTTTAAAATGTGCACTCTTTCATTATCAGTTTTTTTTTAAAAAATATATGTTTTTATTGATTTCAGGGAGAGGAAGTGGGGGAGAAAGAGAAACATAAGTGATGAGAGACTCATTGATGGGCTGCCTCCTGCACACCCCAACTGGAGATTGAGCCTGCAACCCGGGCACATGCCCTGACTGGGAATTGAAATGAGATCTCCTGGTTCATGGGTCGATGCTCAAATACTGAGCCATGCCGGCCGAGCTTATTATCAGTTTTTATCACACTTTTAAAATTCTTTGTTTTGAAATAATTTGAGACAGAATGTTACAAAAATAGTGCAAAGAATTTATGAATACCCAGTTTTCTCAAATGTTAACATCTTAGATAACTGTAGTGCAGCTGACAGTCAGGAAATTATCATTGATAGAATTCTAATCCATAGACTTCAAATTTGGACTATTGTCCTGATGTCCTTTCACATCCTGGATTTCATGGCCATGCTTTCTTAGTCTCTTTTAATCTGGGATCCCTAAGTCTTTTAATTATCTTTTATGATCACAACACTTTTGAAGAGTCCCGCCCAGTTATTTTGTAGAATTTCCCTCAGTTTGGGTTTGTCTGTTGCTTTCTTATGATTAAATCCAGGGTTTGCATTTGGGACAAGTGTGTCAGAGAAATGATGTGTTTTCAGTGCATCATATTGGGAGGCACATGATACCAGTTTATCCTGTTAACTTGAATCATTTGATTTAGGTGGTGTCTGCCAGGTTTCTCTACTATTAAGTAACTACTTTGTCCTTTGTAACTAGTGTCTTTTGTTTATGACCTTTGACAATTGGTTTTTTGTTTCCTTTAACGGAATTCATAGTTGATCCACCTGAAGAATTAGGAGCTAGTATTTCTGTTACTTCAGATGAGCTAGAGAAATTGCTCTACAAACCACAAGATGGTGAATGGGGCCAGAAATCGAGAGATGAAGAATGCGAACGAATTATTAGTGGTATAGATCAACTTCTGAATCTTGGTAAGTCTTTAGTGTGAAAAGTTTCATGCTCAAGCTTTCTTTTCCACACAAGTATTTAAAAATGTATCATAATTGTGGTTGTGTTTGTTATTACAATTTCTTTTTGTTACCTTTTGGTTAAACCTGCAGTGTTAATGTAGCTGTAGTGTATTTTATGAATGATTTGTGGAGAAATAAAACAGGTTATGAATTTATTGATAAAAACTCTTCTGTCTGCCCTGACAGATATAGCAGCAGCTTTTGCAGGTCCAGTTGATCTCTGTACATACCCGAAGTACTGTACTGTAGTGGCTTATCCAACTGATCTTTACACAATTCGAATGAGACTTGTTAATCGATTTTACAGGTTAGTAGAAACCTACCTTAAAAATAGTTTGAAAGGTTACTTGGCTGTACCAACTAGAATAAATACAGGTGTAGTGGTAGTTAGTGGTGACAGTGGGAGAATGGGGACTAACATTATTTTCTATTTCATTTTCTTTTTTTATTATAGTAATTCCTTGGTCCTATAAGACATTGTGTTTAGTTGCTTGTGGGTAGGTGTGGTTAGAACCCGAATAAGAAAAACTGTCAGATTTCATTCCTCAATCTTAAGTAGTCTGTTTTTCTTACAAATTATGTTAAGTAGTTAGAATATATATTTTGAGAGAGAGAGAGCGAGAGAGAGAAACATCCATTTGTTGTTTCACTTATTTATGCACTCATTGGTTGCTTGTAGATGCCTTGATCAGGGATCAAACCCTGCAACCTTAGTATATTGAGAACAGTTTAAGCAACTGAGCTACACAGCCAGGGAGAAATTATATTTTTTATTTGTATGTTTAACATTCCTATTTAGCTGTTCCTTTTAAAAATAACATTTAATTTAGTTAAAAATTGGACTTTAGCCTTTGAAAGGTTAATTCCCTAGAGTCATGTACTTATCTCTGGCTTCTAGAACACTGATAACTATAAAGTTTCCTATTCTCATTGATTTTTTTAAAAGCAGTTGATGGTATCTTATTTTTTATAATTTACCTACTTGGAAAAATTATAAAAAACTGACTTCTTGAGTTCACATTGTTGGTATAATTTAGCTCTGTAGTCAAACATGGAAATGTGCATTTGATCAGGAATCCCTTTGCTACTTTACAGTAAGATTGACTCTTGGGATTGATGTTGTTGAACACATTTTCTTCATTGAGTCTCAATAGCTTCAAATGTACCCATAGGCAGTGTGAAAAGGGAGGGTTGCTCTGTTGGTTTTCTGGATGCGATTAAGTGATCTGTTAAGATTTTTGGTACTTAAATGTATTCTCAGAAGTTTAGCTCCAGGATAATTGCTTACTACTAGGATCAAGTTGTCAGCATGAGAAGGTTATTCATTGTTACTTTGCACTTATTGTTTAATTAATATCTCATGCTGGGTTTTTTACTCGGTTTCTGTCTTTTTATTTCCTAAACCATAAATTGCCTTTTTATTTTGAAGGAGGCTTTCTGCATTGGTTTGGGAAGTCAGATATATAGAACATAATGCCAGAACATTTAATGAACCTGAGAGTGTAATTGCAAGATCAGCTAAGAAGATAACTGATCAGCTTCTAAAATTTATCAAGTAAGTGTCTTCATATTGTAGATGTTATGGAAAAGCGATTGACTTTGCATATTGTGTTCTTGCAACCATCCAGTACTTCATTTGTGCTCTCTGAATTTTATACCTTTTTAATGTGTTACTTTAAATGACATTTCTTTACATTCTTACTGTGATTGTAATTTCTGTACAAGAATCAGAAATTAATTCAACTTTTCCTACTTTTTAAAATTTTGAAATAATTTTATACTACAGATAGGTGCCACATATATATCTGTATCTCCTTCACCTGTTTCCCTTTGGCTAACATGTTTTTACATATCTGTGTATCCCACTGAAGTGCTAAGGAATTATTCTTGGTACAATACTATTGACTAAGCTGTAGGACTTAGTTGGGTTTTTAGTTTCTATATCAGTCCTTTTTCTGTGTCAGGATACTGTCCAGAATCCCCATCATATTCACCATTGTGTTTTCTTAATTTTTTTTAACCTGTTCCCCAGTCTTTTTTTCATGACCTCATTGTTTTTTATAAGTGTTAGTCAATTACTTTGCTGTGGGTACTGAATTTGGGTTTGTTTGATGTCTTCTCAGGATTAGATTTTTAATCTTTGCATTATGTCCTGTGAGAGTGTTTGTACATGCATGACTATCTCACATACTTTCTTGCCTTGGGAAATCATATTTGGAGTAGTATCATGAAAACTGACCTGGAAATCACGATCCAAGGTCTAGCCCAGTGTGTTCTAGTGAATATTCTGTGTGACCTTGGACAAATTACTCAGCTTGTATCTTTTAAATTAGTGAATTTGCTGTATGATCTTATATAAGCCTTTCCCCTTAGCTATAAAAATTCTGTAGAAAAATAATATAGAGAAGATAATTTATAAACTGTGCCATCATTTTCAATATGTAGCAACAAATTGGAGAATAACGAATTGCAGCCTGTCTCACTTTCCTGGGTTAAATATATCCTGTGTCTGGAGGACTTGGACTTACTCTCAGTTCTTTTTTCCTTCTGGAAGATTACATACCATTTTTCACCTTTATGCCTGGATATCCCTACTTTAGGATTCTTTCTGTGTTTACCGTGAGGTTAAGATATAATTTGATTTAAGTTCTACTTCTTTTTCTTCTATTCTTTTTTATCTCAAATCAACCATTTTCCTGGTACTAATTAATTGTACGATTATTACTAGTGATGATACTTAGAAAAACTCACCCGTGTGTTCATTAACTGAGGCCATATATATGTTATTTCTGGATTACCAGCTAAATTTCTGTACGTACTTAACTGAAAAAAAATACCCTTTTCATATTCTAAGATAGTTGTTTCCACAGAGGGGAGTAGAAACCTGGTATTTCTCCTCTTGAAATTAGGTGTGCATAGTTGGGCAGCTGTTTATATCTAACCTGTAGTTTGAATCTTTGATAACATTAATGACATCTGCATACTGTTAAAAATGAAAAATTGTTTTTTAGGAATCAAGACTGTACAGATATCTCAGAACTTTCTAACACTTCTGAAAACGATGAGCGAAGTGCCGAGGCTTTGGTATGACGTTTGTCAGTTTTACAGTGATTTTTGTTAATTTCAAATGGTAACTTGAAAATAATGAGTGAAGTAGAAAATGTTGATTACCTATATCAATTCTTGCTATATTCCAGTGAACTATGAAAATAGGGCACTTGATAAAATATTTCTAAGTTATCTAGATGGTCGGTGACATAATTTGTTTTAGCCAATAATTGATATCAATATATCAAACAACATAGTCAAAGTGAATACCTTAGGTGTGGAGTATGTTCTCTTTCCAAATTTTAGCTAGACAAAGATGCATTAAAAAATTATCTTGGAAATAGTTTTTGTAAAACCTGAGAATTGCTTTTACTTTTATTTTTTTATTTTTTTTATTTTTTTTAAGTTTTATTATTGTTTAAAATATTACAGATGTCCCTTTTTCTCCCCAATGACCCGTTCCACCCCATTTCAATTTTTTAATTGTAATTGAAAATCAATGAACGTGGCCATGCTTAAAGTACCCTGAAGTCCTTCACTCAAGATGGTCTTGAAGTGTCAGCGAGGCAAATGTCAGTGACATTGCACTACTTAAGATCAGGCTGTCGGATTTGGTTGCAGGGAAGGTGTTCTTTAAAAACAGTGTAGTGTAATTTCTTCACAAGCTTATTGTAGTTCACTGATTTTCATGCTAATTTATATTGGAATAAAAATGAGTATATATTTAGGGAATAAAAATGTGGAGAGTACAAAATGCAGGAATTGTAGGAGACTCTGTTTCTGGGGTTTTATGAATAGAGATAAAACCCAGATTTAAAGCTGCTTTTCGTAACTATGTTTTGGGATTAGTGCATGTTCTTAGGGGATGTGAAGGGTTATTAAGAATGGTTGGTTGGTTGGAGTTCATGTGCCACAAAAATCATGTGATAGTCTGTCTTTTGAGACTTTGTTAACGTTATAACCCTTGTCTTTCATATACTTTTAAATTTAGATTATTACATTTCTAATGAGAATATTAACACTTAAGGTGCTCTGATTTTTATTCCTAGGATGATAGTGATCTTCCTAAAACATCTTCTGGAAGAAGGAGAGTAAGTTAATCTGCCTGATTGACCTTTGTTGTTCATTTATTCTTTATATAAAATCAACTTGAGATCTTTGGTGGTATCTTTTGAAAAGTTAAATCGATACAGATACGGAATATTTTGTAAGAGAAAAGGGAATAATCACTGAAAGCTGGATAGTCAGATTTAGTGGAAGAGTTGGGATTTGAACTGTGTTCTCAGAATGAGAATGGAATTAGAACAGATAAAACTCTTGAAGTTGTAATATGTTAATTAAAAGTCAAGGTTATTAATCTGAAAATGCTCAAAAATCTTAACATTTTAAGTTTCATCCAAATGCTGTTTAAGTGTAAGCTTTTTATAACAATTTTTGTAATATGCTTGCCCCAGATAACATTGAAGAGCTAGACTTGAATTACTGTCATCTGATTTGTCATTTTGATATAATTCTCCCAAGTGTTTAGTAGCTGTTTAGAATTTGTTTGCTATGGCTGCTCTAGCAAATTACAAATCTAGTGGCTTAAACAATAAAAACATTATGTTATGGTCCTGTAAATTAGAAGTTTGACTTGGGTCTCACTGGGCTAAAATCAGGGTGTCAGCATGGCTGTGTTCCTTTCTGGAAACTCTAGGGTAGAATTTGTTTCCTTGCATTTTCCAGCTTCTAGAGGCTCATGACCCCCTTCTTCCATCTTTAGGTCAGCAGTGTAATGTCTTCCAGTCTCTTACTCTGACCCTCTGCCTCCCTCTTGTAAGGACCCTTTTGATTACATCAGGCACAGCCAGATAATCCAGGACAGTCTCCCCATCTCAAGATCATGCCTGTAGTCACTGCTACAGGTTCCTTTTTACTATGTAAAGTGACATAGTCACAGGTTCTTGGGATTAGGATGTAGACACCCTTGACACATCATTCTGCCTACAAAATTATCCAGTGTGGTAACTTCAGATTCTGCAAAAACATTTTCTAAACGTGGGAAATAAGTGCTGGAATGAAAAATGTTTCTAGAGTAACAAATGTTACTCTATTGGATTATTGGATTTTTACAGAAAAGTGGATTTTTTCCCAAGTAGATAGAAAATAAAATACGATATTATAGTGTCACTTTTCCAACACTGAAAATACTTTTAATATTGTGAATATTTTTAGGTCCATCATTGGAAAAATAGGAGCAGCAAAACAACCAGCTATGTTGAAAGCAACTGGAAGAAACAGTGTAAGGAACTAGTGAACTTAATTTTTCAATGTGAAGATTCTGAACCATTTAGACAACCTGTTGATTTGGTTGAATATCCAGTAAGTTGCCATTGTTTGAATGTTTGGGGCTTTTCTTATTTTGTGTAGAGGAGATCGGGTAGAGGTATTTAAACTTTTGAAGAATAAGATGTCTGGCTTCATGTTAGCTTTTTATCTTACCACTAAGTCAGTTATGTAGTGGAGGGTTCTACATGGTATCTGTTATCTAAGTAGACCCAGCTACAGGAAAATTATAAACTGGATAAAAAGTATCTGTCTTCACTCCAGTAAAAGTTGGGTGGAACATCACCTTTAAAAAAAGTCAGATACTAAAGCACAAACTTTCTGTAGAAAGCTTGGAAATTACAGAACACATAAAGAGGGAAATAAAAACAAATTCATGTCTGGCTCTCCCTCTCAGGAGCACGCCTTCAGTTTTCCCGTCCCCCTCTACCTCCCCTCCCCAGGTGCCTAACCTTTGCCTTTCCCTCTTCTAAGCTCCCAAGGGCCCTTCTTTTGCCTCTGGAACTTGTTTTGTGAGCCTACGCAGCCCAGCTGCCTCACTTCTACTATCTTTGTAATTTTTTAAATAAACTTACTTTTATAGTTTGAAAAAACAAGAAACAAATCCAGTCCATGTCCTGCTACAAGTATAACATTTTGGTTATTTGTTACCTTGTTTCTGTGTCTGGGTCTTCTAAAAAAAGATATTAATGACTTTAAGCTTCTTCTAATTTTCCCCTCTTCTATAATTTTGAATATTTTAGAAGTCTGATGCACTTACATGTCTGAAAGCAGGAATGAAATCTTTGAACTAATTATTGTTTTTAAAACCTAGGACTACCGAGATATTATAGATACTCCAATGGATTTTGGAACAGTAAGGGAAACTTTAGAAGCGGAAAATTATGACAGCCCTTTGGAATTTTGCAAAGACATCCGGTTGATATTTAGCAATGCAAAAGCATATACACCAAACAAAAGATCAAAGGTAATTTAAAAAGTGGTTAATAAAAAAGAACATGATCTGTGTAGGTAATTGTTTGCTTGCCTAGTAGAGGCTGGAACATTAAAGATGAGTGAGTAGGCAGGACTGCTGTTGAGAATAGAACTGCTACCGCCCAGATAATCTCCTATTGCTGCCTCGCCATAATTAATGATTATCCTTCCTAAAGTTTTATAAACAGGATTGGTGGGCGTGAGGGTCTTAATAAAAAATGAGCAAATTTAAATTTGATACGTAGAATGAGAAATATTTATATTTTACCTATGGGAATCTTGAGAAGTGAGTTGAAAATTTACTGATAGAGTTGGAAGAAGATTAAAAATAAGAAAAGGAAAATCTGAAGATGGGGCGGGGACTATGGATATAAACTAATATTTTGGATCCAAAGAACAAGCACACGTGTTATCGATTCTTTAAGAATACAAGTATGGAGCACAGTCCTAAATCCTTTTTTTTCTTCCAAAACTTGTTGAAGCATACTAAATATACAAAAGAGCACATATACTGTCAGGGAATTTTCACAAATGTCATGAACCTTTGTGGCCAGGGTGCTGGGTGATTAATAAAAAACAGCAATAATTCAAGAAGATTTTAAGGTAAAAGGCTTACTTGATATGATAGCACTTTCTTTGTCTATCCTCAGCGACTCTCATTGCTAATTAATTGTTTTTGCCTTAATTTTACTTTCTCCTCATTACTTATTATCAGACTCCTCCCACATTATTAATTCTTGTCTCAATTTGAGAACCCTTGCGTTACATTCAATATTCGAATCCTTTATTGGATCAGTTTAACATTCAAGTCTGAAATTTTTCAAGCATGTGCTATTGCCAGTATTCACCATTCATGATGCTGTTTCTACCCAGAAAGAAAATAAATTTCATTCATGTCTTTTCCCTCTCTTGTTTTAAGTACATGCTTGAGGATTCATACCATACAACTTACCATTTAAAGTGTATAATTTAATGGTTTTTGGTATATTGCATTATCAAATTTTCAAAATTGTGGTTAAATCTATGTAACATAAAATGTATAGTTTTAGGCCCTGGCCGGGTGGCTCCATTCGTTGAGTGTTCGCTGTACCAGGCACCAAGAGGTCAGCAGTTTGATTCCAGGTCAGGGCACATGCCAGGGTTGTGGGCTCAATCCCCGGGAGGGGTCATGCAGGAGGCAGCCAAATAGATGTTTCTCTCTTTCCTCCCCCTCTCTCTATAAAAATCAATAAGAACATATTTTAAAAAAATGTTTAGATGAAATGTATAGTTTTAACCATTTTAAGTGTGCAATTCAGTTGCATTAATTACATTCACAATATTGTTTAACCATCACTGATACCTATTTCCCAAACTCTTTCATCACCCCAAACAGAAACTCTGTAACCACTAAGCAATAACTCCACATTCTCCCCTTCCCTCTCCCTTGGTAGCCTCTAATCTACTTGCTATTTTTAAGAATTTGCCTATTCTAGATATTCATATAAGTTGAAGAATGCAATTGTCCTCTTATGTCGTTATTTCACCTTTTCATAATGTCTTAAAGGTTTATCCATGTTCTAGCATATATCAGAACTTTGTTTCTTTTTATGGCTGAATTATTGTCCATTTTATGGGTTGGGTATATGATATTTTGTTTATCTCTTGATGGACATGAGTTATTTCTACTTTTTGGCTTTTGTGGTTAATACTGCTATGAATATTGCAATACCAGTGTCTGTAAGAGTTCTTGCCCTCAGTTTCCTTGGGTATTCACCTAACAGTAGATTTGCTGGTTCACAGGGTAATTGTATGTTTAGCTTTTTCAGGAATCACCAAACTGTATTCCATGTTAGCTGCATCATTTTACCCCCCCCTCCCCCCCAAGCAGTGTATGAGGATTCTAATTTCTCCACATCCTTGCAAACGTTTATTGTTTTCTTTTTTAATTGTAGCCCTCCTGGTGAGTGTGAAGTGCATCTCACTGTGCATTTTGTTTTTTGAATCGCATCCTAGGGTATTTTTCCATTGCTTTTCGGGGGGGGGG